TGTCATTTCAGGTCATGTGGGTGCTTCATGCTTGCCTGTGAACCCTACTCCGACTTGCTTGATGTTTTTTCTGATCCTTGAGGCAGAAGCCAGCAGGGCGGTTGTTCAAGGCCCAGCTCTCTGGTGTGGGTGGCGGGGGGAGGATCCCTGAAGGTAGACATCGTGCATGTTGGGCTGCAGAACGTGCGGGATGGATGAGTGGGTCACTTTGAGTCAGAGCAAAGATGACGAGCGTGCACAGCAGTGAGTCATTTAACCCTGGCTGGTTGCAAAATGAATTTGCATGAAAATCTCAACCTGCAGCCTCTGGGCAGCTCCACGTGGAAAGTGATCCACTGGGTGCCTGTAGTCAGGAACTGTCAAGGTAGACCTGGGCCCTAGGGGCAGAAAGTCGGACAGAAGGAGAAGTTGAGAAGGAGACAGGAATTGATGATGGAGTTAATGCAGGCTGCAGCCCCAAGATCGATGTGGCTCCCAGCAATGGGGGTTGGAGAGTCAGAGGGGAGGCCAGTGCCACCGGCTCTGCAGAGATGGCTTCCAGTTGTTTTTCTGTGTGTAACATGTTGAGACGCCATGACCATTCCAGAAAGCACAGCTATAATCTCCAGGTTCCACACATACCTGACTGCTGGGTTTCTGCATGTGAATCTGGATCTACTTTTTCATTTTTTTAGAGTTATTTATTTTTATTTGAAAGTCAGAATTAGCAGGAAAGACAGAGATCTTCTGCTGATTCACTCCCCCAAAGGACCACAACGGCGGGAGCTGGGTGCGGTGGAGTCAAGGACAGGGCAGCTGTAGTTTTCTTTCAAGGTGTATGGGAACTGGAAGCATGGGCACCAGGCACTGTCGGGTCTGAGGCTCCTTCTGCCCTCCCATGAGGGCCCATCTCAGAACAGGGGAGATGGCAGCAGGTGGACAAGTCATGATGTCCTTGGTTGGAGTCAGTGGGGATGAATATAAGACTCAGGGTGGGATGACTGGGACCACCTGGCCAGAGGGCACTGCGCTGGGGGGTGACTGTTGAGCTGAGTCAGGGATGGCCTTCCTACCCCCACCCCCTCTAGAGAAGAAAGCATTTCTAGAATCAGGACCAGCATGAGCAGAGGCCCAGAGAAGAGAAGGATTTTGGTGTGTAAGGGCGGCCCAAGCACAGGGGCTGAGGCGGAGAGATAAGTTTTGTCCCCCAGAATGAAAACCTAGGCCCTCAACAGAGTCATGGAGCCGGTTGTGCTCTGAGAGCAGTCGCTGCCAGCCATAGCTGGGGATGCTTAGGACACCGGGTCACTTCCCTGCTGTCTCAGGTACCTGTCCCAGCAGAGAAAGCAGGCTTGTTCTGACCCCTCTCCCTCCTTTAAGGAGCAGAGGCCCCTGAGAGGACCCAGTTTTTATCTGGGGAAAAAATGTCTTAAGCCAGGTCAAAAGGTGAATGAGAAAGTGGGGGAAATATTTGCACAGTTCCCATTCCATGCAGGGGGTTTTTTTTTCCCTTTACTTTCTAAAGCTGTTGGCCGGTGGAGCTGGGACAGGATGTGCAAGGGTAGAGAGCATCCGAGAGTTGCACAGAGCATCCAAGTGCTTTACCACACACAGCTGCCAAGAGCAATGGTGTTGAAACATGGCTGCAGCCTTGTTTCTTGTCTCCCACAAAAGAAGAATTTTCATGCAGACAACTCTAGTTTGCAAGGCAAGATTTGTTTAAGAGAGTGCAAGCTCTCCTGCCATAGCGACAGGAGGGGGCTCCAAGGAAGGACAAACCCAAGGAAATGGTGTCTTTTATGCATCATCTCAGGGAGGGGGTTCACATGAGTCACCAAAAAGGCAGAAAGAAAAAAAAAACTCATTTGCAGTGGGCAACAGTGTCTGCCACCTCCCACAGACCACAGGCTTCCTCTGCCCATGCTGATGGTAAGCTGAAAGCTCAGGTGCCATCCCTGTGACATGATCCAGAGGTGAGATCAGTGTGAGCCACTGCTTCTTGATTTTGATATGACCACAACTCTGAGACATGGGGATTGATATGTTGATTTTGTCCCTTTGTTCTCCTTCAAGGGGGAAGGTGTTCCTGGAAGGGTAAGAAATGGGGGAAAGCACTATTTTGCATCTTAAAGGATAACTCTACCAGGAAACAGAGACCCTAGCTTCCTGTTACCTCATCTGAGTCCTCATAGTGGGAATGCAGTACGCTCTGTGGCCAGATGGACCCAGGCTCTCGCTCAGGGTGACCATGCAGGTGAAGTTAAAGCCCCTGACCAGCCAGGAACTGTGGAGGGAACTCAGCTGTCACTCAGTAGGTGTGAGGATGTATAGGGGGCTGTTTTCTGTTCTGGAACTGGAATGCTGTTTAAGAAGGAGGCTGCTGGGCCCAGTGTGATGGCTCAGATACAGGCTGAATCCTTGCCTTAAATGCACCAGGTTCTCATGGATGTCAGTTAGTGCCCTGGATGCACCACTTTCCATCTAGCTCCCTGCTTGTGACCTGGGAAAGTAGTAGAGAATGGGCCTTGGAACCCTGTACCCATGTGGGAGACTTGAAAGAAGCTCTTGACTCCTGGCTTTGGATTGGCTCAGCTCTGGCTGTTGTGGCTGCTTGGGGGATGAACCAGGATCTTTCTTCTGTCCTCTCTCTATCTTTCCAAGAAAATAAATATTGGGCCCGCCATGATAGCATAACGGTTAAGGTCCTCACCTTGAATGCACTGGGATCCCATATGGGCACCAGTTCTAATCCTGGCAGCCCCACTTCCCATCCAGCTCCCTGCTGTGGCCTGGGAAAGCAGTCAAGGACAGGCCAGAGCATTGAGACCCTGCACCCGCGTGGGAGATCTGGAAAGAAGTTCCTGGCTCCTGACTTCCGATCAGCGCAACACCGACTGTTGCAGCCACTTGGGGAGTGAATCATCGGATAAAAGTCTCTCCTCTCTGTACATCTGACTTTCCAATAAAAATAAATAAATCTTAAAAAAAAAGAGAGAGAGAGAAAATAAATAAATCTTAAGAAGCTGCTGGTTGATGTAGCGACAGATGTTGGCAGGTGAACATGAGCTTAAGAAGCCAGACACAAGAGTTGCCGCAGGTGCCCTTGACTCAAAGGGCTGGGAATTGGCGCTTTATAGTTTTCTGGGACTAAGACTGAAAAGACACTAAGGAACTTTGGGGAGTAATGGCAACAACCCTCTAGCTGGTGGTGTGTTTGTCAAGATTCTTAAAATATGTGGACCCTTTTTAAATATGTGTGAATTCTGCCTCAATAACATAAATTTAAAGAGCAACTTTCAAAAGGAAACAAAAGCGTTTGGTGAACTTGGCCATTCGTCCATCGCATATGGAGCACCTGCTGTTACAGGGGCTGTGTAACAGGGACCAACCCATCTCTGCACCAGAACGCAGTTCCACGGTGGCGCCGTCTCAGGCCCTCTATGTCTGTGCCAGCCCTTGGTTCCCTCCCTGGGATCCATCACATTATTCACAGCTCCCAGGCCATCAGCTGCTAAAATGCTTGTAGTCCGAGACCCAAGCTGGGCAGGGATGGGAGCTACTAGGAAGGAAGGCAGCCCTGTCGTTTTGGTCAGAGCAGTTGAAATTCAATACAGAAAGCAAAAGAGCCAGGAGATTGTCAGGCTAGAAACCAGTTCCCATCTCACTTGCTGGGTACTATTGACCTGGCTGTTTCTGCCATTTTTTTGCAGTAACATTGTTCTGCTATAACTTTCTAAATTCACTGATGCAATATGTTATTTCTGCAAGCCATTTCGTAGCTTTTGCTTTTTTCCCCTAAAATGTATTTCAGAATTAGATTGTTTGTCTCTTGGTTTACTCCTCAAGTGGCTGCAACAACCAAGGCTGAGTTGAAATAAAACAAGAAACCAGGAGTCTGATCCTGGTCTTTCACATGCAGCAGCTCAAGCACGTGAACCGTCCTTCACTGCTTTCCCAAGTGCATCAGCAGGGAGCTGGGTCAAAAGTGGAACAGCTGGGAGACAGCTGACACCCATATGGGATGCTGGTGCCAAAGGCCACACTTCAATGCCAGCCCCACCTAGCCCCTACTTCTGAATGAGTGTGTGTGTATGTGTGTGTGTACTGGACGAATGAAGTATCCAGGGCAGGGCCCACTGTCTGTGCACATCAGTGCGTCTACACTAGGATGCCTTCCATGCATGCATGCAGGTCCCTCTAGTCGCTTTGAGGAGCAATGTGATAGCTTCTCTAAATCGCTCCAGTTTGCTGCTGCAAAATGCCTGAGATTGGGTAATTTACAAAAAAAAAAAAGGTGTGGGAGGGAATTTCTTGTAAACAAAAAAGGTTGAAGGACATGGGTGCTGATGTCGCACAGGTCAGCAGGGTGATTGTATTCTGCTGTAAAAGAAATGGAAAGGCTGTTGGCCTGCTGTAATCGGTTTCTGATGTGTGTATGATCTGTGGAACTATTTGGCACCTCCTAAATTGTGCAGGCATTTCACGCTAAACCAAAACCTTGACTTATAGTGCTGGAGGCTCGGAAGGCCCCAAGCATGACACAGGTCCCTGCCTGGCCTCTGGTGAAACCTGTGCTGCATTGAAACACAGCAGAGGGCATCCCACAGCAGGTGGCCAGTGTGCACACCTGCATCTCCCTCCCTCTTATTAACCCGTGGACACCGCATCCCATCCAAGTTACCCCCAAAAGGCTCACTTCTGGGAACCACTAACGTGGGAAGCTGGAGGTGAGATTCCAGCACGTGACCTCTGGTGGGCGCTACACAGGGTGGGCTCTGCAGCCCGCTGCTCAGGCTGTGCGAAGTGCTTTTGAGGTTAGAGAAGCAAGTGACCACATAAGGGACAGATGTCCACATCCTACCAGCAGCAATATCCTGTTCTCACGTGGGATATTGGCACACCCGCTTCTCCAGCCCAGAAGGAGGGACGGGAGGGGTCAGAGGGGCTGCCCTGAACCAGCCAAAGGGGCATCAAGGCAGGCCCTGGTCACCCACTCACTTCCCATCCCTCACTTGTTTCAGGTGCTTCTGACATCAGTCTGCTGCCAGGCAGTGGCATCACCATTCGCATCCAGCTGGGGACCCCACCCCCGCCGGGGAAGTCCTGTTACATCACCATTGGGAAGAAGCAAGACACCACCCTGTCCATCAAGTCTGGAGAAAGGGTCGTCTTTGGCTTTAGTTGCCAGAAGCCAGAAAGCTACTTTGTCATGGAGATCCACAAGAGTGTTGGTGAGTATACCTGCCTACCGCCCCCACCGCTACCAACAACACCCTATCACTCCAGGTGAGCCACCAGGGCCACATCTCTGCCGTTTCCTGCCTCTCTTCCCACACTAAGACGCCCTCTCATGTTAGACAGAACAAGAAATAAAATTAAAAGGTAAACAGAAGTCAGCTTTATGCGTTAAGATGTTGCCTACAGGGGGTGGGGGAGCCAGCATGGTGGCCTAGCAGCTAAATTCCTCGCCTCACATGTGCTGGGATCCCATGTGGGCACCAGTTCTGATCCTGAAAGTCCTGCTTCCCATCAAGCTCCCTGCTTATGGCCTGGGAAAGCAGTGGAGGACAGCCCATAAGCCTTGGGACCCTGCACTCAGGTGGGAGACCCAGAAGAGCTCCTGGCTCCTGGCTTCGGATCGGTGCAGCTCCAGCCACTGCAGTCACTTGAGGAATGAATCAATGGATGGAAGATCTTCCTCTCTGTCTCTCCTCCTCTGTATATCTGACTTTGTAATAAAAATAAATAAATCTTAAAAAAAAAAAAAAAAAACATTGCCTACAATGCAGGCATCACATATGGGCCCTAGTTCAAGTCCCGGCTACTCTACTTCCCATCCAGCTCCCTGCTAATAATGCCTTGGAAAGCAATAGAAGATGGACCCTGTGGTCACATGGGAGACCTGAAATAAACTCCTAGTTCCTGGTTCTAGCCTCGCCCAGCCCCAGCCTGTTGCAGCCATTTAGGGAATGAGCCAACAGAGGTCAGTTGATATTGCCCTGGGCACAGTAGAGGTGTGGGGAGAGAACAACTGGGAGGCAGATTTTAAAGGAAAGAAATAGTTTGGTATAAGCATTGCAGTTTCCATGAACTCCTAAAATAGGGTACTATCTTTACTAACACGCAGTGTCTAATTTTAGCTGCGTTAGTCACTGTGTATTTAACCCTGTTTTATGGGTTCAGTGGCACAGCTCATTGGCAAGAGCTTGGCTTGACCAAACACAGCCTGGGCTTCTGGCCTAGGATTGTAGTATACTGACAAGAGCCTAGATACAAGTCACCTGGACCACTCTAAACAGATGGGAAGTATGGTGTAGGTGACATCAAGTTCTAAAATGTACTGAAATTCTCCCAGGAGCCCATTGTGAGTGCACAGGTCCCAGTAGGGCAGAAGCATCTGAGGTCACAGGTGGAGGCTGTCACACTTTTTAAATTCCTCCATGCTCCAGACAAAAAAAGACCTCACTGTCCCCTTCCCCTCTCTCCATCTCCCCCTTGGTAGAGGTGGGTTTTCTGCTTTGCTTTGAAAGGCTTAGGAAGTGAAGTGCATCCGGGGAGCCACAGTGGTGACTTGACACCAGCTGGGGAGCCACGAGACTGGAAGACGGCTCTGCATCCAGGTAGCAGACCTTCAGGGGAGCTGGGCCTTCAAGATGTACTCGGATTGGTGATGGATATATGGAAAAAAAGAATCATTTTGTCAAGATTTGTTTTTATTGAAACAGCAGATTTTTAGAGATAAGCAGAGACAAATATCTTCCATTTGCTGTTCATTCCCCAAATGCAGCAGCCCAGTAACATCCAAAGTTGAGCTGATCAGAAACCAGGAGCCTAGAGCTTCTTTCCACTTCTCCCATGCGGATGCAGGATCCCAAGGACTTGGGACCATCTTCTGCTACCTTCCTAGGTCATAAGCAGGAAGCTGGATGGGAAGTAGAACAGTGGGACATGAACTGACTCCTATATGGGAAGCTGGCACTGAAGTCAGATTAGGGTGTTATGCTACCATGCTCGCCTCAGAAGAACCATTTTTTAAAAGGTGGATTTGGGCCTGGCATGGTAGCCTAATGGCTAAAGTCCTTGCATTGTTTGTACCTGGATCTCATATGGGCACCGGATCAAGTCACAGCTTCCCCGTTTCCCATCCAGCTCCCTGCTTGTGGCCTGGGAAAACAGTTGAGGACGGCCCAAAGCCTTGGGACCCTGCACCCGTGTGGGAGACCAGGAAAAGGCCCTTGGCTCCTGGCTTTAGATCAGCCTCCTGCCATTGCACCCACTTGGGGGTGAACCAACAGACAGAAGATCTTCCTCTCTGTATATCTGACTTTCCGATAAAAATAAATAAATCTTTGTTTAAATAAGTAAAAGGTGTATTTGGGCCCTGTGTCTTAACAATGATGAAACCAGGACCTGCTCAAAATAGGGAGAGTAGAGGATCACACAGCAAAGACATGGTTGCAGACAGCCTGCCCTTTGGCTCCTAGTGAGGCCTGGTCAGCAGACCCCCCAGCTGGAATCCCAGGAACTTATCCTAGAAGCGCTAGCTTGATCAGAAGCAAGAAACACGGCAGCGAGGACCTGACCCCGTGTTCCTGTGGCTGCCAGCGTTGTGGGCAACAGCTTGACTCCGCTTGACTCCGTGTGCCACAAGGCTGGACCTGTGAGACTGGGATTTTTCTGAAATCGTTTCTTGAGATAGTGCAGTGCCCTTAGAGGAAAACTCAGCCCAGAGGCGGGCACGGTGTTAGCTGCAGCCCAGTCTGGGCCTGACCCCGCCAGGGACATTAAGAGTAGGACTGCATCCTAGATCGTATCACTTGAAGCAATGAAGCAAGGAGCCTGGGCATCTTGAACTCCTGAATTCAGCATTTATTGGCTAACTGCCCTAATTGGCTGCTGCTCTGCCCTCGGTGTCTCAGGCTGTTCTGACCCACAACAGAGGCATGTCCCCAAAGCAGGTACATCTGTGATCCTTCGGCCGCAGGAGCAGGGAGGGGGTGTGAGCACTGGTGCACCTGGGCAGCATCCCAGATAGACTGTGATGGTGGAGTTAAGGCTGTGGGATGGCAGGGGTGCGAGCAAGCGGCAGATGCCTCACAGCCCCTGTCATCAGCATGGCTTGTGTGTCTGTTTCAGACTGCACAACGGGTCCATGTCTTTCCGGGGAAGTTCAGCTGGAGCCCTCAACATCAGTGTTGCCCATCCTCAACAGAACTTTCATCTGGGACATCAAGGCCCCCAAGAGCATGGGTCTGGAGCTATACTTTCCCTCTCCTCGCCTGAGGCAAATCAGCCCTGGCAAGGCCTGCCCTGACGGAGTCACCCACTCCATCAGCGGGCGCGTCGGTACCACTGAGGTCAGGATCGGAACCTTCTGCAGCAACGGCACCGTGTCCCGCATCAAGATGCAAGAAGGAGTGAAGGTGGCCTTACACCTGCCATCGTTCCAGCTTAGAAACTTCTCGGGCTTCAGCATTGCAAACCACTCCTCTATAAAACGTGAGTGTGCCCTCCCCCTGCCTGCTGTTCCATCTGCACAGATTCAGCCTTCCGCTGTTCTCTAGGGGATTGGGGCCCTCATTCATGGTGCAGTTACCGTCTTCTCTGTCCCACGCTCTGTGGTTTTCCCTGTCCTTTTTGCTTGTGATGTTGGTTTTCAGAAAGTGATGTGGGATCACTTGGCAGCTCTGTTTCTAACTTCATGATCTTCTCTGTCTTACACTTCCTCTAACAGCACTGATGATATGCTGGCAGAGCTGCTCACACTGGCTCACTAGAGAATGGATTGTTCAATGTTCAGGAATTTTGTGAGCTGTTATTAAAAATAAAATGCTAAGGATATGCATTCTGCCCAGTGGCAAAGCCACTGCTGGAACATCTGCATCCTTTGTTCAAGTTCCTGGGATCAAGTCCTAATCCTGGGTCCTGATTACAGCTTCCTGCCAGCGCACACCCTGGGAGGCAGCAGTGAGGCCTCAGGTGATTGGGTCTCTGCCACCCTCAAATGAGGCCGGATTAAGTTCCCAGCTCACAGCTGTGGTGTTGTAGCTATAAGGGAATGGGCCATAGATAGAGTCTGTTCTCTGTATCTCTCAGTCCCTGCCTCTCAAATAAAGGAAATAGTTTGTTGTTGTTGCTGTTGTTGTTGTAAAGATCTGTTTATTTGAAAGGCAGTTACAGAGAGAAGGAGACAGAGATTTCCATCAGCTAGTTCACTCCCCAAATGGTCATTACATCCCTGGCTGGGCCAAGCTGAAGCCAGGCACGTCTTCCAAGTGTCCCATGTGGGTGCAGGAGCCCAAGCTCCTGGGCCATCTTTTGCTGCTTTCCCAGGCTCATTAACAGGGAGCTGGACCTAAAGTGAAGCAGCCTGGATTTCAACCAGTGCTCGGGTGGGATGCTGGCCACACCACACCACACCACTAACCCCACAATAAAGCTTTTTCGTAAACTTAGAGCTAAATAAGCTGTTTCAAAAGTTAAAACTCGAAACTCATTCCTCTGCAATGATCTTGGTACATCTTGCCATTCTCTGTGCCCATGAGGTGGTCTGCCGTGTCCATGTGCTGGGGATGCCAGGTTGTATGGCGGTAGCTCCAAGTCAGATTTATGCCCGGGAGGTGGCAAGTGCTAGCAGCTGGGTCGGCACCTGAACACTCCCGTGCTCCGCCACCTGTGTTCCCCCATCACTGTTCTCTGCATTCAGCATGAGCACGCCACAGCAGGTGTGTCCCGTGCTCCCATTCACCCTTTCCCATGTTGGCTCTTTCTCCCCGTAGGACTATGCATCATCGAGTCCGTGTTTGAGGGCGAAGGCACAGCCACGCTGCTGTCAGCCAACTACCCAGAAGGCTTTCCCGAAGACGAGCTCATGACGTGGCAGTTCCTGGTCCCACCACACCTGCGGGCCAGCGTCTCCTTCCTCAGCTTCAATGTGTCCAACTGTGTGAAGAAAGAGGAGCGTGTGGAGTACTACATCCCTGGCTCCACCACCAATCCCGAAGTGTTCAAGCTGGAAGACCAGCAGCCTGGGAACATGGCAGGAACCTTCAACCTCTCCCTGCAGGGTTGCGACCAGGATGCCCAGATGCCGGGGGTCCTGCGGCTGCAGTTCCAAGTTTTGGTCCAGCATCCACAGAACGAGAGCAGTAAGTGTACCCCCCTGCTCTAGCAGAGCCTTTGTGGTTCGCTGGTGAGCTGCCCGTAAGGCTGCCTTCCTCCTGCTCCCCCTCCTCACTTTCTTGGGACTCTGGAGTGCCAGGCAGTGAGATACGCCCACAGACATGTGTACCTGGCCTGAGGTTTCATTTTAGCACCTAGAGATGAATGCTAGCTTGCCTGTGGGTGCTTAGTTGTTTTGAATGAAGGCACTGGGAGGTCACTTTTCTTCGTCTCATGTCTCTGCCTTGCCACAGGCTATCAGCAGTGGCGATGGGTGCTGGTACTGGCTTTGGCCGAGCCGCACCTATCCTGGGCACATCTGTATTGCAAGCCCAGCCCTTTGGCATACCACTGATGTAATCCCAGCTCATCCTTAGTGCAACCTTGCAAGGATGGTGGGACTTGCCTTCCTTTATGATGGGAAGCCAGCAGGATCAGAGAGGTTAGGGAACTAGCCAACACACAATGTCACACAGCTTGTTAGGAGTAGAGGCATCTCAGAATGCAGAGCCTGTGCTCTGAACACTGTTGAACACCTGGTGGACTGATGAGAACCAGATTGGGCAGAATTTAAGGAAGCATCACTCTCAGAGTTGTTTCTGTATAAGGTCACACCCTTAGAGTACGAGCTTCTTTAAGCAATGTTCCTTGGATGGCTGGCTTGTGTGTCCTTAGTCTTGGCTGACTGTCACTTTCACTGTGTGACTATTTACCCTTGGTGGAGAGTGAACAGTTGGGAAGTTGGCAGAGCCAGGCAGACTCTTGACTGTGCTGAACCTGTTCAAGAGAGTGCCCATCTGGTGCTGCCCTGGTCATGTCCTCCTGGTGCCCACTTTGTGTGTATACATAACGTGTACTGGGATATCCATATGTGTGTGTGTGTATCATGACATTTTTATGATTTCATTGCTGCCACTGTGTAAGCAGGATGTGGAAAGCACCTGTGAGTAGATTTCAAAATGGTGTGGGTATAGGGGTGGGCTTTGGAAGCAGGGTGAGTTGTTGATCTGCTCAGCCATGGAGAATGGCTACTGGGGCCCTCTGGCTACTTCACAGCAACCAGGTTGCTTCTTGCACCTGACCACAAGGGCCTCCAGAAGGCCCCAGGTCTGGTCCAAGGTCAGAAGTGACTGCAATGCTGAGTCAGTGACCAATGTCTTGGCCAGAAACTCCCACATTGGCTGCACTTTTCTCCAGTGGAGGGATTGGCTGTGGTCCTCTGGAATACATTTGGGGACCAAATTAAATAAGTTCCCGGTGCTGGACCGAGACAGCTGCTTACCTGTGCTTTTGGTTAATGCATTCTTGAGTTTCCTCCAGTCAGCAAACGTTTGTAGGCAGCTTGTTCACAGAAGGCACAGTGCCAGGTAGTGCCAGGTCACCCTGGAATTGAGCTGTGTGGATCTGGATCCAGGCCCTCCCACACCTCCCCCTACTAATGGTGCTATTAGGAGCAAGTCACCTAGCCCCAGTGTGTGTGACTCAGGTCCTCCCCCTGTGCAGTGGAGATGGCGGGACTGGCCTAGCAGGGTGGTGTGAGGATGATGCGTGTCAGCATGGTGCCTGGTGTGTCATTGTGCTCTTTTTCTGGGTCAAGGCAGCCGCTACCCAGGGCCAGAAAGACGCAGTAGGGATGACTATGGGGCCCAGAAAAGAAACACCCTGCAGGAGGTAACAGGTGACCCTGCACAGGTGCTGCAGAGCCTTGTGGTGGGTCAGAGTGGTGACAGGTGGAAGAGCAGCCGCTAGGTGGGAGGAACACCACCACAGGGCTCCCCTTCCTCAGCTGCTGGGAGAGGCCTTACCCATGCCCATCGCTCCTGCTCTTCCTGCTCCATCCATTTGCTGTGCTGCTTTGTTGGAGGGGAGCAAGGAGGATCCAGGAGAAGAGGTGACCGAGGCCCTTGACTGAGAGTCGCAGCTCTTCCTTCTCCCCTGAGTCCCCCTTAGGGACTTTAGCCACTGCTGCACCTCCCTGAGCCCAGGCCAAAGGTACACACAGGGATTGGTGGCACTCCTCATCTGCCACGTTGTATCCAACAGATTCATCTGTACATCTGTGTCCCACCCCCTTCCTCCCAGCCAAGAAGCTTGTCCTTGTCCCCTTTCTGGCTCCGCCATAGTTGGTGGCACATTCCAGGTCCTCCATGGATCTCTGTTGCACCTGTCTCAGGAGGTGACATCTTGTCGCGTCTCTGGGGCCAGATGCACCATCCACGTGTGTGCATAAGGACAAGGTGGACAACACAGAGTAAGGGATTCCCAGGTAACTCCAACAAGTGAGCTGTCTGGCAAAGTGGTGGGGCTTCAGGAGCAAGAACACAGGTGAAGCCAGGAGACCCTACCAGAGCCAAAGAGGGTGGCCATCAGAGGCAGCCAGCCAGCACAGACCCATCACCCTCCACTGCAGGATATGGGCTCCGGCTGCACATGCAGCGAGCAGCAGACAGCTGTTTAAACCTGATCGTCTGGGAAGAAACCCCACTTCAAGCCTTTAGACTGAAAAAGTAATCAGGCAAAGTCACACTCAATCCGGAGGAGCCCTGCAGAGACTTGTCTTTGCGTGGCTTAACCACAAGCAAATGGTGGATTGTCTTAATAAGTTAGTTTTTCATGTGACAAGCAGAGTGATAGAGGCAGACACAGACAGCTCATATTTGCTGGCTTGTTCTCCAGATACCCAGAACAGCTGGAACTGTGCCAGGCCAGAACCAGGAACCCAAGTTAAGTTGCATTTGTGTGGCAGGCATGCAGTCACTGGAGCCATCACTTCTGCTTCACAGCGTTGGCATTAGCAGGAAGCTGGAGCGGGGAGGAGGAGCCAGGACTCGAATGCAGGCATTCCCCTATGGGCTACAGGGGCCCAAACCTGTGTCTTCACCCTCATGCTAAATGCCTGGCTCCGAACTATTTTAAGATGAGTGGTGCACAAGCTGCCCAGGACCTGTGCAATAACTGGTGTGACCCAGATGCAACTGTATGTGTGACCTCTGCTGACCTGTGCTGCCAAAAACGGGCAGCTCAAGGGATATCCTGAGAGCTTGCTTCGTGTTGCTTGACAAGTATTCTGCTGGCCTGTGTTGTTCTCATTCAGAGGCTCCTGTTATTGCTTTGTGCATTCTCATGATGCTTTTGGAAAGTACTTTCTGGGAAAATACCAGAGTGGTCTATTAAAAATGTGTGAGTTTCCAAGTGATTACGATTCAAATAAGATGGATGAATGTGAGTTTGCAAATGTGTTCATTATCCAAAGCGCTTCTGTGATCCGCTCTGGGCGGGTGTCGGTTGTGGCTGCAGTTCCATTACTGCTGCTGTGCGGCTGCTTTTCCGTTTTCCTTTAGTAGCCTCCTGGAACCCTTAGCTGATTGTTGGCTTACGTTTAGTGTAGGTGGTGGTTGGGTAACGCATGCTGTGTGAGTCCTAAACGTGTCCACGTTGCCGTCTCATATTGTGGTCACTGACTTAGTCCCACGGAGCTTGTTTGCCTTCTAAAGTAAGGAATGCCATCTCTAGCGACCGATGCCAACAAGATGATTGGGAGGTGGAGAAACCTTCCTCGAGCTTCTGTCCCTCTACAGGTCCCCAGGGTGGCTTTTGAAATCATGTCAGGCATCCAATCATGAAGGATTTTCTTTGGAGGTAGAATGAAATCTTACTAAACCTCAGGCTCAGATATTTGGAGGGTTTTTGTTTGTTTGTTTTTACTGGAAGGTGTCTGTGAAGTTGCAGAAAGCATATGGAATTGTTTCAGGGCAGGAAACCATCCAGAACACAGATCTCCCCTTTATTAGCAGAGTCACCTTGCAGAGTTCACTGGCCTCTCTTTCCGGCCCTAGCCACATCTACCCCCGCCCCGTTCGAGGGGGGAATAGGCAGCTTGTTAAAGCTCAAGGGGGACACTGAGCTAGAGTCTGTGCTGCCTGCTTGTAGATTTATGGATATTGATAGGTGAGGTTTGCATGAGATAATCCCCCTTCCATGAGGGCTGAGGGCTGCCCGGCCATGTACTTCTGCAGGAGACACTCCTTAGGTAACATGCAGATGTGCTGCTGGTGGCCTGCAAGACACTTTGAGATCCAACCCAAAGAATTGTGCAAAGAAGGAATGTAAAATGACTTCAGCAGAGGGGAGTGTGTGCAAAGAAAAAGGAACATATGTTAGTTAGTATAAAGATCTGGGGCCCGCCTGATACATACCCCACCTGCAGGTGCAGGGTCTGCCATGGCCCCCAAATCAGGCTGGGTCTTTCTCAATAAGCTGCTGTGGCCCCACTGCTGGATGTCCCATCATACTTTACTTGACTGCTACACAGTTACTGCTAAAGGAGATACAAACTGTAAAACTGGGTAATGCCACTGTGCACCTGCCAGAACGGGCTAAGCCAAGTCAGATGGATAACATCCAAGGATGGGGAGGAGGTGTGGCCACAACAGGTCTCTGGGGATTGCCAGTGGGAATGTAGGACGCTGCAGCCATTCAAGGGAGCTATCTAGCACTTTCTTACACAGTTGTACGTCTCGATGACCCAGAAATTCTGCCTAGGTGTCTGTGTCCCCTCACTGACATATGACAGAATACTAATAGCAGTCTTATTCATACAAGTCAAAAACGGGAAGCAGCTGGAAGCCGAATGGATGGGAGAATGGATAAACCAATGTGGTTGTGTTTGTGGAATATACCAAGGGGACATGATGGCCTTCTGCAACAACAGGAATATGTCTGAACCCTGTAATGACCAAAAACATTCAGGTACAGCACGTGCCTGCTGTGTGACTCTGCTGTATGAAGTTCTCAGAGAGGCGAAAGCTGCAGAAATTGGAAGACATTGATTGCCTTTTGGCAAGAAAGGACAGTTGTGTATCTTCTGGGTTAATAAGAATGTTTCAGAACTTACTTTGGATGAAGAACAGATAAAATTGTCAAAGCTCATCAAACTCCACCCTTCAGGTCCGGGTGTTTTATTATGTTTGAATTGTCCTGCCCATATCCAGAGAAGGTTAAAAACAAGATGATTTAGTGAGTCACGTTCAAATGTTAAACTGCTTTTGAGTCCCACTTACGAACTAACGGTGTCATTTTGGACAAGTTCCTTCACCTTCCGGAACGTCAAGTGTGTATTCTGTAACATGGAGATAGAAACACTATTGCTTTGGATGAGTTTCAGCAGTGAACTTCAGAAAGGAAAAGATCTATTTATGGTTGTATACCTGACCCTGGCATAATCATGTTGGACATAAAAATGAGCCCTCTCTGTAAATATTTGATGAACATTTGTTGAATTCAACCAGGCCTGCCCAAATTTGGTTCTCTGCTGACACTTCAGGAACAAGCTCACTGTCGTCTTGAAGCTGGAAGACGCCTGACAGCTGTTCTCCACGGGAGTGTCCTGCAGGCCTGGGGCCCAACGCGTTTCTGGTCATCCTTCAGGGCCGCTAATGGGCTAACCAAGGGAAAACTTGGTCTAAGCAGGCAGAGGAACACGGGCTTTGCAAGCAGGAAGAATGTCGATCCTAAACGTTTAGCTTCTGCTGTGAGAGCACTTGGTGTCTGTCTCCCTTTCCATGGCTGATATAACACCTCACCCTAACTCCTCCTGTTGTTACACGGCTGGATTTGATTCTTTTGTGCAGCTGAGTGATGCCCCTGTGCACACGCCCCCCATTTCCCTCCCCATTCACCTGCCCTGTGCTCCGGCATGATTCCCCTCTGTCGGTTGTCAGGAATGGTGCTGCAGTAAATGCACATGGCCATTCTTTTCCTTTTAGAATGTGTGTGTATACCACGTTTACAATGAAATCTTGTCTTTATGGAGATAAAGTCACCTTATTTTTTTCTTTTTAACTTTTGGATAAAGATGTTAATTATTTATTTGAAAGGCAGAGTTACAAAGAGAGATCTTCCCATTCATTGTTCACTCTTCAGATGACCGTAAGAGCCAGGGCTAGAGCAGGCACAAGCCAGAAGCATGGAACTCCCTCTGAATCTCCCATGTGAGTGCACGGGCCTGGGTCGTCTTCCACTGCTTTCCCAGGTGCACTAGCAGGGAGTTGGATCTGAAGTGAAGCAGCCAGGACTCAAACTGGCAGCTCATCAGGAATGCTGACATCGCAAGCAGTATCTTAACCTGCCAGTCTCCCCAAAGAGATTTTCTGCAAATTTTTGTCACTCATGTTGTTGCTGCTACTGCCCCGTGCCTCATGCCTGCCTACTCTTTGTGCTTTCAGATAAGACCTATGTGGTTGACTTGAGTAAGGAGAAAACCATGTCACTCACCATCGAGCCCGTAAAACACGGCCGCAAGTTTGTCCCTGGCTGCTTCGTGTGCCTGGAGTCTCGGACCTGCAGTGCCAACGTCACCCTGACACCTGGCTCCAGACACAAGATCTCCTTCCTGTGCGATGACCTGAGCCGCTTGTGGATGAATGCTGAGAAAACCTTAAGTAAGGTCTTCACCCTGGGTCGCTCTCCCCTCCTGGCTGGGATCCCCCAATAGGCTTTATAAGGAATGAGCCGTCCACCCAAGGCAGGGGAGCAAGGGCTGCAGCGAAGTGACCGGCTGGCTGGTACGTGCAGCCCTCACCCTATGCGTGCATCTCATGAATCTCTCCCTTGCAGGCTGCTTGGAACCCCGGTATTGCCAGAGGAAGTCCTACCCGCTCCAGGTGCCCGATGACATCCTCCAGCTGCCCGTGCAGCTGCACGACTTCTCCTGGAAGCTGCTGGTGCCCAAGGACAGGCTCAGCCTGGCGCTGGTGCCAGCACAGAAGCTGCAGCAGCACACACATGAAGGGGCCTGCAGCACCAGCTTCAGCTACCAGCTGGCTAGTGCCGTGCCCGGCCAGGACCTGTACTTTGGCTCCTTCTGCCCCGGCGGTTCCATTGAGCACATCCAGGTGAAGCAGAACCTGTCCGTGACACTCCGCACCTTCTCGCCCAAATTCCGGCAGGACGCCTACAGGCAGGGCCTGAATGTCTCCTTCATACCCTTCTTTAAAGGTAAGGGGTCTGTCTCCATCACCACACTCTCTCAGCCCTTCTGGGTTGAGGGGATCATTTTATGGACCCCTTTATGAGGAAGCCAGTTTGGAAAGAAAGGGTAGTGCAGTGGGCTGACCCTTACACAAGGAGTTGGGTAGATGGTAAGATCTGCTCTTGACCTGTTGCCCTTAACCTAGCATGGAAAATGCCAGAGGTTAGAAATAAGAAAAATCTGGGGCTACTGTTGTGGTGGAGCAGGTTAAGCTGCTGTCTGGCAGCCCACGTGAGTACCTGTTCAAGTCTTGGCTGCTCCATTTCTAGTTCAGCTCACTGCTAATGGTATGGGCAAAGCAGCAGTGCTTGGGCCAAGTGCTTGGGCCCTTGTCACCCGATATGGCAGTCTTGGATAGAGTTCCAGGCTCCTGGCTTCTGCCTGGCCCAGCCCTGGCCGTTGCAGCCATTTGGGGAAGTGAACCACTGGGCGGAAGATCTTGTGCACTCAGTCTCTCTCTCTCTCTCTAATATTTCCTTTCAAATAAATAGTCTTTTTAAAAAGGGACATAAAATCTGCCAGTGGGAGACAAGGGCTGTTAGGCACTACTCTTCCCCTTTCCCCCTCAAAAAAAATGGACCTCAGTGGTTTTGGGGAGCAAGAAGAGAATGACCAAATATGACCTGATCCTGGATTCTTTAGGCTGACACTTTGATGTTGTGTTTACATTTCTGAGCACAGCATGTAGAGCAACAAACTGCTCTACATGGGGAGGGCGGGGTGTCTGCCTCCAGCAGGTGGAGCACAGCCTGCTGGGAGCAGCAGGTGCAGGTGCCAGGTGAGCTCACGTGCCCAGCAGACTGAGCCCCTCGTGGCTGACCTGCAAAGCCACGGTCACCGTTACAAGTCACTCCAAGAGAGAAGTTACGCAGCATCAGAGACTGTTTCAGATAAAGGGCTAAGACATTCATCAGAGGTCGCTTTGTACTTTACTTCTCTGGGGCTTGAGTGGGAAAGAGGGGGAATTGTCCAGTCCAGACTGCCTGATATCTCGAAGGGGAGCAGAGAAACTCCTGGGGAAGTCTCTGAAAAGAAGACAACATTCTCATCAACCTGTGGTGTTGGGCTTTTATTTCCCGCTGAAGGGAGTGGCTGGGTTTGCTGATCTGACTGGAGCTCTTCCTGTTTTGCAGCTCTAGAATGTTCTTCCCAGAATTCCAATTTGTTTAATGCATAGGATAGGAATTGGGCGAGATCAGTCTCAGCAGATGAAAGTTTATACTGTTGAGAGTGTTTCTGGAAGAAAGCTGAGATAATCACTAGTTTGGCAAATTGATCTGAGCTTTGTATTGATTGATAGATTGTTTGATTAGCAGCCTGAAGGCCTACTATGGCTGCAGCTGTGCAGCTGTGCAGTTGGCCGCATGAGCCTGTTCAGGTGCTGTTAGCACACCTTGGTATGGCTGAAGTTCTTGCGACCCTCGAACAGATGCACATGGCCAGTGGCTACTCTGTTGCAAAGAGCGGGTATAGCCCTCCTCTACTAAACAATTCAACGTTGTCCCCTTGCCACTTGCCACTCGCCACTCGTCACTCGCATCCTGTCTGTCTTGGCCGAGTCAAACAGCAGCTTCTTATCCCACAGAGGAAGGCATTTTCACCGTGACCCCTGACACGAAAAGCAAGGTCTACCTGAGGACCCCCAACTGGGACCGAGGCCTGCCAGCCCTGTCCTCCGTGTCCTGGAATGTCAGCGTGCCCAGCAGCCAGGAGGCCTGCCTGACTTTTCTGCAAGAGCGAACCGGCGTGGTCTGCCAGACAGGTCGCGCATTCATGATCATCCAGGAGCAGCGGAGCCGGGTGGAGGAGATCTTCAGCCTGGAGGAGGAGGTGCTGCCCAAACCGCGTGTCCACCGCCACAGCTTCTGGGTCAACGTCTCCAACTGTAGCCCGGCCAGCGGCAAGCAGCTGGACCTGCTCTTTGGGGTTGCACTCAGCCCCAGGACGATGGGTAAGAGCCTCTACGGGTGTTTGGGAGCTGGACATCCAAGGGATGAGGGAGCAAGAGTGGAAGCCAGATCAGAAAACACAGACAGGGCTGCCTTGGGAATCATGGGGTGGCGGCAGAACAGCTGGTAACTGGCACTTGTGCATGGGCAGGGCAGGGCCTGGCAGCCTCACTCCCTCGTATACCTGTGTGTCAACTGCCTGTTGGCTGGAGGACCTCGCCCATCTTCACCTGGGTTCTCTGCCAAGATCCTCCGGGACTTGGCTTTCCTCCCTTCGGACTCGAGCCACACCTGCAGCATGGGCCCGGAGCAGAGGAAGAGTTTTATAACCCGCAACCTGCAGGGTCTCTCGTACCTGAATTAGGAACTGGCCCACCACCTTTTGTACTGCATTCCCATGGCTAGCCTAGATGGTATCGGTCACTCTGTCACCATTCTTTAAGTGCTCTCTGACAAGGGAAGTGCTCTCTCCTAATCTCCCTTTTCCGTGGAGAGTACATGATAACAACTGCACAATGAAAGGGCCGTGGGAGTTCTGTGTTGGGGATGAAAACATGGGGACCTGGAGCAGGCATCTGGCCTTGCAGCTGAGACGCTACGCTACTTGGAATAAGCCACCTCCCCATCAGTGTTCCTTCTTCAGGTTTTAGCTGCTTTCCCAATTCCGGCTTCCTGCTCTCATGCTGACCCTGAGGCAGCAGGTGCTAGATGCTTTACGTAGTTGGGTTCCTGCCACCCATGTGGGTGGGAAAGCTGAACTGCGTTCTTGGCTCCCAGCTTCAGCCTGCCCAGCCTGCCATGGTAGGCCTTTGAGGAATGAATCAGTGAATGGAAGATCTCTTTCTCTCTCTCTCTCTCTCTCTCTCTCTCTCTCTCTCTGCCTCTCAAATTATTAATTTAGTCTCTTGTTTAAAAACAAGACAAATGTGGGTGACACACTGGGATTCATAGGATGCTCTCTGTCAAGCCATGGAGCCAGGTTGGGGAGTTGCCCTTTTATCTGCTAAGTTCCAGGATGTGCTGATGAGTCCTGGCCAAGAGGCGCGTGTGAAGCAGGCAGCGCCAGGGGCCTTGGCTGCCCTTGGTTCAGCGTGGGCATCCCACAGCGTTAGAACCAGAAGGATTGGACAGGCTGTTTTCTTCTATAACCAGCATGCAGACCAGATGTCCCTCCCACTTCCCAACCCCAGACCCACAGAACCGGTTAGCATAACTGATGGAACCGAAAGCCTCAAGTGGAAAACTGCCCGCACTCGGGTTACCTCCTGGGCTTGCTTCCTGTCTTGCTTTCATGTCCTATTATTCATTTCACTTCCTGCTGCCTTGGAACCTTGCTTTTCGTTTTCTTGGTGCACACGTTCTAAATGCCTTTTTGGGGCAGGGTTAGCTCCCTGATCTGTCTTCTGTTCCCTTTGTGCAGCTGCAGGGAAAAGGCAGCGAGACGAGACTGCGCTCTCCTTCGCTCCTTCCTGTCTGCCTTTGGACTTCCTGCTTTCCGCTGCTCCCTCCCTCTGCTCTGTTCTTCCCTGCCCCAGGCTGGAGAGACTGGGGACACACCTGGGGAACCAGCAGTGGCCTTGGGAGTGCATCTGGTAGGTCTCTCCCCCATTTGTCTGAGCGGTTAGTTGCTACGTACAAGGTTCCCCCAAAAATGTTGTGGCTTAAACGTCTTGTTTGCTTGTCAATAGTCAGGACAGGGCCTAGCGGGGTGAGTCATCTATGCTCCAGGATCGATAGGACCCCAGCAAGATGTCTGGAGCATGGCTGGGATGGTACGAGAGGATGCCCCGTGGGGATTTTTGGTTCTCACTTTGAACCAACCAGACTTCTCTCCCCATAAGTCTGCACAGCTAGCTTGCGCTCCTTGCTAACATGGTGGTCTCAACACAGTCCAGTTTCTTACACAGAAGAAAAGAGAAAGTGCAGGCTGGCAGTTCTCTCGGAGACCAGGCCCAGAACGGCCATGGCTGCCTTCCTGTGGGCCTGACACAGATTCCAGGGGAAGGGACCAAGACCATGGAATATATCCAGGTGGGAAGGAGAGGACCAGCTCTGGGGACAGCTCAGGTTCCTATGGGGCTGACCGCTCGTCTCCCTGTGTTCTGTTCACAGACCTGACTGCTGTCATCGGCACCGTGGTGGCAGGCATCGCTGTCCTGCTGTTGGCCCTCGGACTCATCATCTGCTTCGTGAAGAAGAGGTAGGTGACTCCCTGGGCCATCTCTGGGTGGCAGGAGGCCTGCTCTGTGCCACACAGCTGCAGTGAGTACTGTGGGTTACTGACCACCAGGGTGAGTAATGCTTCAGAGCAGAGGAGGGCAAGAGCGCAGGTGGTGGCATTTTCGCTCTGTGAGTCACACTCACTGTTTACTCACTGAGGATAGACAGTGTGAGGAACCCACCAGGCCAGGCCCCCCGAGCCATGAGGAAGACGCAGTGTGATGATGGGGCTTGTTCTCCTGTGGTTTCTGGAGCACACCGTCTGCTATGTGATTGCTGATTCAGCTCGTCAGGGGACCAGGGGCCAGCCCAGCCCAGTGGGGGAGAAGTGGATGCTGTGGCCCAACACTGGGGAAGGGGCTGGGGAGGCCCCTTCCTCCACTGATGCTGAGTTCTATTGTCCCTAACTCCCGCCAAATACTGAGGCAAAGGTACCCCACAAAATTCACAGAAAAAGAGTCAAGAATAAGTTTATCTGTTGCCAAAATGATATTTGAGAGCTAGGCCTAGTTTTTTCATAAGCAGCGTTTTTCCCATGAGACCTCTCCTGTTTTCAGAGACCCCTCCTGTCACCATTTAGATCTGGGTAGTCAGAGCTTTTACCCTTGTACAGAGAGTGATGGAGCCTTAGCTACAGGAAAGAACTCAGAGTCCTAGAAAGTTGGCCTGGATATATCAGCCATGGTCCAGCAGGAAAACAGGGAAGGGAAGGTTAGGTGTCTCCACCGTGGGACACCACGTGACCACGCCAAAGCACAGGTAATGTTGAAGGCTCTCACTGAGCCCCACTCTAGCACCTGTAATGTCTCCATTTCCACCCTGCCAACTTGAGACAAAGGCTGCTGGTCCCTCCTGGGTGTTCATGCAGGACAGCGGCTTCCATTTCAAATGCCGAGCAGCTTGAGGGTGAAACGAGCCATGGAAATGTGGACCTCTCATAGGGCGTGTCCAGAGCTCTTCTCCCTCTGACCTCTGTCTCCTTCACTCTCTGCAAACAGGAGAAAGAAAATAAACAAGGGCCCCGCCGTGGGCATCTACAACGGCAATGCCAACACTCAGATGCCAAGGCAGCCCCGGAAGTTTCCAAAGGGCCGCAAGGACAACGATTCCCACGTGTACGCGGTCATTGATGACACCATGGTGTACGGACATCTGCTCCAAGATGCCAATGGGTCCTTCCTCCAGCCAGAAGTGGATACCTACCGGCCCTTCCAGGGGCCCATGGGGGACTGCCCTCCCTCCCCACCCCCAGTGTGCTCCAGGGCCCCGACGGCAAAGCTGACCTCAGAGGATCCACCGCCCCTCAGGCTTTCTGAGTCTGAGGGGGAAGCCTACACCTTCTCCCACCCCACGAAGGAGGGTGTGGACCGTGAGGACACTGCCATGCCCTTGCTGGTCACCCAGGAGCCCACAGAGCCAGCCCCATCTGAAGGCTTGGCATAGATGTATAAAGCAGGGCCCTGACACTCACTTTGGTGTTCCTAACCCGAAGCCCTGGAGAAGAGGAGGAATTCGGGGGGCTGGGGGAGCAGCAGAGAGATGCTATCCCCTTCAGGTTTCTCACTGCAGAGAAGAGATGCTGAAAATGATGGACTCTGATCTGCTTCCGGTCATCACAGTACATGTCCTTCGGTGACTGGCCTACAGTGAGGTTGTCAGCACAGGACTGCCGGGAGGCCTGGAGTCGCAGCGATGGCCAGCAGGGCCTTGTCCTTTGCGGGACAGCAGTTCTCCCCGGAGAGCCCACTGCGGCCCTGAGACCTTTCTGTGTGTTGAGGATTTCTTTGGTGGGCTTGCGTGATTAAGAGGTCAAATACGCCATCCGTCAGCTCTCTTCACTTGACAGCTTACGTTCCCTGGTTCAGATGGCTGGTTGTTGACTTCTGCACATCCCTGGATAAATAAGTTCTTTTCCCCCTTGCAGGCTGGGACCAATTTGCATGGTCTCCAGCCACAAAAGGCCGTGCGTATGTGCGTGTGTGTGTGTGTGTGTGTGTAGTACCAATATGTATCTGCTTTGATCCAAGCCTTCCTGCTTCCCTTCTTCTGCAAGTGGTCATCCTCCACTGCCCAAATCACTCATTTTTACATCCCATTTTAGTCCTGGAAATCAGAGAAATGTCCTTGAGTTGCCAACAGGTGACTGTTGTAGCTGGAGTAGTCGTTTGACATCTAAACAGAAAGTTAGAGAATATTTTCGTAATCAACACATGCTCAGTGCACCCCCGCACGGGGCCACCCGTGTGAGTAGCCTGATGCTACCACAAAACTTGAGTCGATGAGTTAAAAAACAGCGTTGCCAGCTTATAGTTCTGGGGAGCAGGATCCTGACACCAGGAAGGCCCCCTTCTGCGCAGGTTGGGAGCTTTGGGGTGCCATGATTTTGCCCCACCACATCTTTCTGCCACTGATAACCCAGTGGCAAGACCGCAGAAAGATCTGACCCACGGGGCTGTTCTATTTTGCCTATTGAGTCCTTTTGCATGCAGGAAGTTGTAAAAATTATACATACAAATCGAGATCGGGAGATCAAGGCATGTTGGTGCTCCCACTCTGACCTCAGGTGGCACAGCTCACAGCTCTGCCCTTACAGGGGGCATCAGTTCACCACAGGCCCCTCCACTCCCTATTGCCCCTACAGGGAGGCTGAGTATTTGCTGCAACTGCTCAGCACCCTGCAGGGTTGCTTTGCTTGTGAGACTGGGGGGGGAGGGGTCTTTTAGGTGAGCAGGCTGGCCTGGAAACTGAGCTTTCCTAGAAAGCATTTCCCTGTGTCCCCTCACCGTTGTGGGTTCTTGTTGCTATTCCGAGTTTAGTGTGTCCAGCAGAGACGGCCTTCCCAGAAGGGAGCCGCACACTCAGGTGGCACGTCCTCCAAGGTCTGCTGGGGAAAGCAGAAGGCTTTCTCATGTCTCAGTGCTGCCTATTGCACCGTTCCCTTCTGAAAGGCTGGCTCCTCTGCCCGGTTCCCCTGCCCAGTTCCCTTGGCACCTTGATCCAGGCTGCTGACCAGCCCCCTCCAAAAAAGCCAGAGGAGGACTGTGGCTTCCCTCCATCAGCAGGAGGAACCTCATTTGAAGGTGCGTTCTGAGCCCCGGCTCTCTGTTCTCTGCTTTCCCCATCTTGCCTCTCTGAGCCTGATGCCTTCCATCCCTCCCAAGGCATGGTTGGCCACTTGGGGCTCACCACCCATCACACACACCCCTGGCCCTTGGACATGGCCAGGTGGTCAGCTCCCCAGGCTTCAGGTACATTTAATGTTCCATAGAAGGGTTCCACCTAATGCCCCCCTCCGACCCCCCATTTCTTCTTGTATGTATGTATTAGGGTCACTGGCATCGATTCCTCCTGGGAGCCAGCACAGCACCTAGCCACAGTGGGCCAACTGGTGTCCAGGCAGCCCTGAGACCCATCTGCTCTGCCTGTGAGGAAGGCCAGCTCCTGCAGGACTGACCTCAGAGGCCAGGGCTGTTGCACCAAAGGGGAAGTTCTTGAGTCAGCAGGGACAAGCCCAAGTGCATCAGATAAACCTTGGTAAAGGTTTAAACACTTGTGTATGTGTGTGTGGTTCTGCAATGCTCAACAGGAAATAATTTATTTGTTGTAGATAACTTTCAGCATTTTATTCATATAGTTTTTAAAATAAATTTACAAAAAAAAAAAGGAGTGTTGTGTGTTTTGAATGCTCCAGCTACTTGTCCCCTGCTTCAGCTGAGGCTCCAGTTTCGCGAGCATTGGCTGACACAGGCTAGACGCATGCTCAAGTGCTCAGCAGCTGCTAGGCCCAAGTGGCTGCTCTGCTGGCCAGCACAGATAATACAGCATTTTCATCATCACAGAAAATGCCACTGGTAATATTTTTGTATAATACACATGTATTACGTACCATCTCCTATGTATTAAGTGCTCACTGTACACTGAGAACTCTTCCAGAATGTTTAGATGGACAGTTTGAATCCTTGTTGTATAGTTTGAGTATGACTTGTACCCATCCACCAAAGCTCACCCGGAAGCTGAATTCCTCAACAGGACTGGGCTGGGAGCAGAGCCCTAGTGGGAGGTGTTTCAGTCCTGGGGGTAGCACCCTCATGGATAAGCTAATGCTGCCTGTAAGAGCGAGAGTTCACACTTTCTTGGGCTCCGACTAGTCCTTCCAGAGCAGATTGTGGCAGCTTCCCCAGTTTTCTGGCTCCCTCTCTTACAGTGTTACCTCAAACCTCATGCACCTGCATCCTTTCCACTGTCAACCATGGGGTGAAGCAGCACAGGGCCCTCACCAGAAGCCAAGCAGGTGCAGACCCCACACCCTTGGACTTCAAGACTGAAAGAATCATTCAGCTTTGTGACTGAGGCCTTTGTTGCTACAACAAGAAACAGCTTCATACAATCTTCAGATTTAACTTTCAGTCTTTATTTTACAGTCCCAGCGCTGAACACTGTCTCCTTCATAAGATGCTTCCTTTGCTTGGCTGCCGTGGCCCCAGACTTGCTTCTTTAACCAATCTGGTAACACAAGCCAGTGTGGCTAAAGCAAGATGGAGACCTATCTTCTCACACCCGTGCGGATAAGAGGATGGGACCTACAACCCTGTCTGTATCCTTTTTAGTTCTGACTGTGGCTTCTGCGTTAAGGTTGCCTCATGTGTCCATCATGACAGCTAGAGTTCCAGCCATCATACATAAACCCTGCATACGAAGACAAGTGGGAATAAAGAGTACCTACCTCTTGGCTGAGACAGTTCCCATGAAAGAGCTTTCCTGGAAACCCCCACACAGCAGCTCTGATGACACCCATGACTTCACAAGCCCGGAGAATCAGCTGGGCACATTGATGGCTGACAAGGTGAGGATCAAGGGGGTAGGGGAAAATGAGAAAATGGACAAGTGACTTGACGCCTTGGATTCAGTCCTGGTCTCATGTGTTTCTAAATTGGTTGATGTTTAAATATGACTGAAGTTCTTTGCTTCCAGTGTAATGCAGCAGGTATTTAATTAGAAGGCTAAATTCTCTCCAAATAAGTTTGAGTCCGGTTCCTTTCTCAGTTGCCTCTAAAGAGATTTTATACCCCCCCCCCACACACACACACACCCCGTCATCACTTAACTGAAGCTGATTAGGTAGAACCTAGAAATCACTATACATTCACAACTTTATCCTGTGCATTGGTGCGATGTCTCCATAAACGACTATTGTGTCATTTGGCATTTAACTCTTCTTTTCTTAGGTTAGAGTTTGTTTCTTTTTTTGTTCTAAGATTTATTTATTTTGATTGGAAAGGCAGACATACAGAGAGAAGACAGAGAGGAAGATCGTCCTTCCGATGAATCACTCCCCAAGTATCTGCAATGGCTAGAACTGAGCTAATCTGAAGCCAGGAGCCTCCTCCAGGTCCCAAGGCCTCAACTACTTTCCCAGGTCACAAGCAGGGAGCTGGATGGGAAGCAATGGTGCTGGGATATGAACCGGTGCCCATAGGGATTCCCAGAGTGTGCAAGACGAGGAATTTAGTCGCTAGGCTACCGTGCCAAGCCCGGCATTTAACTTTTTTTCAAATAGATAAAATGAGTATGTTTTCAGCAGCCTTGACCTGAACGCCATCGCCATCGCGTGCCAACGCAGCTCATCACAGCACTAGAAAGATATCTTGATCCCAGGCGTGAATATAACACTTTGCTTTATTTGGTTGCGTTATAAGCACTCAATACTCCCACTCAAAGTACAATTTGTCCCTTGAAGTCTATGGATGTCACAAAGGCAGTGGCCACCAGTGAGGCCTGAGGGAACTCATTTGGACAGTGAACTAGATCATTGGAACTGTCTGCCACGTGGGAGCTTTCAAGTTCCTGGGTTCATCTTCATTTTCACTGACTTTGAGCACAGCCTAAGACTCAACACCTCTTCAGGCACCGCTCAAGTGCTGCGTTTGCTCTTCTGACCACCACGAAAAAGAACAGCTTCTGGATTTTTCTTTCCACCAGCTGTTGCTGTCCCCTTCCACAGTTCAGAAATCTAGGTGTGGTTTCTGGGACCTATGTGGCAGTTAAATGGACATTGAGGACGACACTAGCAGGGTCTCTGGATGGGAGACCAGCTGTTGCCCATATGCTTCCCTGACATTGACTAAGGCCAGGGCCAAGAAGCCAGAGAAGGTTCATCAGGGAGGCTTGTAGGCTCAGTTCTCCATGCTGAGTCCACAGTGGCTGTGGGAAACGGGCCAGGATAGGATGATCATCCCCAGGAAGAAGGGCTGCTGTCCAGGTGGAAGTAGGGAGGAGGCTATGGAACCCTGGGGCCCGGACTGAACTGAAGCTAAGGTGTTTCGGTTTTTATAAGTGATTTTTTGGGGAAAACGTTTACTTATGAATTTTAGTTGAAAGGCAGAGCAACACTGAGAGATTGCTCTTCCATGCACTGGTTCACTTCCCAAAAGCCTGCAATAACC